ACTCAACGAAAAATAACTGCTCACTTCTTACGTCTGACCGGTCTGACTCATTGCTGCACCAATAATCGACCAGGAAGCGACCCATGTCGTGTTTTTTTTAGCGCACATCTCGAATTTTTAGAGCTAAGGCCCAAATTAAGAAGTTGAACAATGAAAACTGCACGGTCATCCGTTCAATGCGCGCGTTGTTTTACCTACTTGGTCAGCCACGGAAGCGAAACCCATTTCAAATTAATCCACTCCACCCATTGGCATTGCCAACCATGCCGACCACATGCACCCCAGTACCCAACGTAGACATAGAACGTATTTAACTAATGGCAAGAAATGCTTTAGGTTATGCACCTACCTTGGGGTCTTTGTCGTGATAGCTTTGTTGAGGTCCTTATCCATCGCGAGACCAGGTGGTCGCGAACGGTGTGGGCCAATGCAAAGTAGTAATCTCTCGTGGTTGCAAACGTTGCGGTCCTTAACTAGAGTGTAGTGCACATGCCGATTAAAAGTTTTCTTGATGTTGGCCATTTTCGACTTGAGCTATTCCTCTGACGCTGATTTGCTTACGCCGCTCATAATCGCTCGTGGTCGGATGCATCTTCGACATGGCTGGTTATTGCCAAAGACACTCGCCAAGCGGTAAGCAATGGCCAACACTTGCCCAATCTTCGAGCTAGACCACCACCCCCGAGAACGGCACCCGCCCCTCCCCGTCCCACAAGAAACTGGCTTGAAAGGGCGCGAACGCAAGGTCAAATGATAGGTCTGGCAGGATCCACACATGCGCTGTCTGCTGAACAGCTTCTGCTTCTGCGCGCTGGCTTGCCGGCGGATGACAACCAGCTGGCATTGAGGGTCTCTCTTCTTTTTCCTCTTTTAGTGCGGGCCTCATAGACGTTGCTTCTTAGCCGTGTTCGATCTTACTCAGCACGTTTGTCAACACCAATTATGGCCTGGTATTCTTCTTACGTCATGGCAAGTGACAGGAAAGTCACCTTTTTGTCACGTCTTGCACCAGGTGGGCGCTGCTGCCGGGATTTTTGCCAGCCTGTGGTATGGAGAGCATCCCTATTAACCGGTCACCAAAATTAAATAAAAGGAACCAAAAAGGCACTTCTTCCAGGCTGGACGAATCACAGCAAACGAACACTTTCATCACCGATCGGATTATTGTCATCAATATGGCCGTTTCACCATCGATTTAACAAAGCTGCTAACCATTGTGCACACTTAAGTACCAAATACGTAAAGGAGATGTCTGCAAAGAAAAGTTTCCACTAGCCTGGCTAAGCTTCCACCAAGTAGGTGAAACAAATCACCAAAATATAGTGGAATTTAAGACTTTATACCGAATGCAGTCTTTCAGCACAACACTTCAACACGACCCTATTTTGAGCCAAACTGTCACCAACTGGGAATCTTGAGACACAGCACACCATTCTTCACATTGCAGTGTGCGTTGTGAGGGCAAGTCGCTGATAACAGTGAGTTTCTTTATACCTGAATGCAGACTTTCAGCACAACACTCAACACGACCCTATTTTAAGCCAAACTGGCCAACTTTGGAATGTTTTGGGACCCAGACACCATTATTCGCCTTGCTGTTGCGTTGTGAGAGCAAGTCGCTGACTAGCACCGAGTTACCCATAGCAATCTGATCGGGTTCTAGGGCGGCCCTGCTGCCACCTATTAACCTCGACTCCACTCACCACTTCCTAGCCAACGCCACAAATCTGTAGGATTCTTTATGACACAAGACATAAACATTAAAGCTTTGTGGGCGCTAGGCCATCTGGTCATCGCAGGGAACGAAAGGGTTGACCCATTGGCCAAGGAAGCATTGACGTCTCCTGACATAATACCATTCCCCGTTGACCACACTTCAATAAAAACGTGATTTGTACTTAAAGCACCCTCGTCCCTGTGCCAATCGTGTTATGGTCCCCCTTCAGTTAAACATCTTTTGTTTGAATGTGATGAGCTTCAACAGCAGCGAAAGGCATTGGAGGCACATTGTCACCACAACGTGCGTTGTCGTGAAAAGTTCTAGGTAATGAACCATCACATCTGGGACCTACGATAAAGGGCCCGATTTGCAGGCCCCAAAGGCCTGAAAGGCCGGCTGGAGGTCGTATTCAGCGGCCGTCCCGCAGGACTGGGCACTCAAATGCCAGCCAAAGGGCCCTACGCGCTGATATAGGGCCCGTGAGCAGACAAGGAGCTATATGTGGGTCCGACACCATAAGTAACGCACAGTCGGCTTCGTGGCGGCATCGGCTGATGGCCCATTTCCCAAGCGCGGACAAAGGCGGAGCCAGCGATTTACATTGACTAGGGCCCCACAGCGCCTAACGGGGACCTGTGCTGGCAAAGAGCCCCAATTCGTCCGGAGGCCGTGTTCGAGGAGGCCCAAAGAGCCTGGACGACCCACCGGATCCTATCACCAAGGGCTGGATTGGAGTGTCAAAGAACACAAAGGGCTCGTCGGAGCAGGGTGTCAATTTTTGTAAATTATGAAGGGGAGGGGCCAAACCGAAGGACCGACAGCTTACCTCGCCCATTTTTCTTGCTTGATTTAGCCCACTTTATTTTGATTAAAGACAATATATGTTATAATCATTGTATAATCTATTTTTAAAAAAATATTGAATTTAGGCAGTATAGAAGTCATGCAGGGCTGAATCCAGGGACCAGGCAGTGGGCGCTCGTGTTTCTTCTGATCGGCGCTTGAAGGCGCCTCTTTAGGGACCACCTTAGAGCGCCGATGGCGCTCTTCTATGGCGGTCATGAGAGGGGGCACGCATTTTGGTTGTGTGGGGACAGGGACGGGGTTAGCCATGACGGACTTACGTCATCCGCATATTCCAGAGCTTTTTACTTTAACCTTACAAGCCATTGCATGTCTTGTGGCGCTAGTCATGTGAAGTTTTTTGCGTCGTGCATCCGCTCAGCTGTGACAATTTGCATCTTGTGGTGAGAGCAACCATGACTTTTTGTTATGAGAGTGGCACGAGACGCCACTACGCAGAAAGGTCAAAGAAGATAGTCTTTGTATTATGATCATTTTTTACCCACGTTTTTGGCAGTGTTCCAGGCAAAAAACATTGGGGGGGGGGGCAAGCCAACATTGGGGGCCCAACTCAACATTGGAGGGGGAGGGCAGTACCCCCACAAAATAATGCATATAGACACCCTTGGGACGGAGTTTTATCCGGGGGCCCCGGCCTGTGGGTACGAACCTTCCAATGACAGCCAGGGGGTTCTTTGTACCGATCAGGGCACCCTAAGTCGATATGGGTCTATACGTCGGTCAGGCACCAACAGCACCGCACAGTCCACTCCATATCGGTGTATGGGTATGGGCCTGAGGGCCCACTTCCCATTCAGCCACCAAACCGGGGCCCTGTATCTGTCAGGGGCCCACAGCGCCCAATAGGGAGTCCTGTGCTCGCAAGGGGCACCGAGGCGACCAAGGGCAGTGCTCGATGAGGCTCGAAGATTAGCACGGACGACCCAATGGAACAGACTATCAAAGGCCTAGTATGAGGGTATCAGGGCCCAAGGATTGACTGTAGATCCCATAAAGAATCCCAGCCCGTAAGGGTGTGAACTGAAATATCAGTCAAAGGTCCTCTTGTACCTCTTGAGGGCGCCCTGAGACAATGCGTGTGTCTGACTCGGCCAGAGACCTCGAACGGCGAACAGTTGGCTCCCTGTCAGTCTGAACTTTGGGGTCCATTTTGCAAACAGAAGCAAGACCGGGGGCAACGATTTGCATTGGTCCGGATGCCTGCAACAGTGGTTGGGTACCTTTGTCGGTCAAGGACCCACAGTGCACAACAAAGGGTCATGTCTCGGCCAGTGGCCCTGTAGCAGGTGACGGACTTTGCTTCAGGAGATCCGAAGAGAGACCGGAGAGCCCCTCGGGACCAAAAATCAAGCGCCCGATTTGACTCGGGTGCGGTTCCCACCTGCAGTGTCATGACCTAAAATGTCAGTCAGATGGTTTCTATTAGGTCCTTCCTAATAAGGGTCTCTATTACTTAATCACCTGAGACCCATTTCCCACGCAGTAATGAGGCCGGCGCCCCCGACTTGCAATGCTCGGGGTCCCTGACACAATGAGGGGCTTCTCCGTCAGTCAGGGGCCACAGGGCCTAAAAGGGGTCGTGTTGCGGCAAGTGGTCCTAGTCGGCCAGGGGTGGTGTTTGAGGGAACAAAAAAGGGACCAAAGGGCCTCTTGAGATAAAAAATCAAAGGCCCAATTCAAAAGCCAAATGGCCAAAAGGACTGGCTGTAGCGGATCTACAGCCAGAACCCCCGCCATTAATGTGACCATGTGACCAAAAGGTCTTCAGGAAGGCCATTTCAGCACAAAACCTCATAGAAGGACGGAACACTCTCATTAATGGTGCATTACATGGGCGAAGAACGTTCCAAAAAAGTACGAGGGAGGGCTTAGGATATACTCTAGGACCCTTTTCTGGGAGGCAAGTCCGCTGACTGGGGGAGGGGGGGAGGTTATAGAGATGGAGGTTATTGCCTGGTTCTAATTCACATCACATATTTTTGAAATAACTAAATGTCATGGCTGTTGATCAGTGGTGCACAATGATGCCTATTGCATACACCTATGTCATTCGGGAAATGTGGCTATCCAACTTCCCATGATTAATCGTCCATCGGTTATTGGACCATGCAGCGTGCCTTTGCTCGTAGTAGAATTCATCACTCTGAATTGGCAGCATTATGGCAGCATTGCTAGCGAATCTAAGTCAGCCAGAACTCCCAGGTTTATCTTGAGATATTTCGTCAGGAAAAGTTTCTAGCGACTTAGAAACTACTTCACGTCAGCTGTTCATGCTTCAGCATGCGAGACAAAAACATACGAACTTTGGCAAACGCGATGCAAATTTTACCGTGCGTTGGGGCGAGTGGTGACAGGCGTTTTACGGGTCATTAATGCTGAGGGCGAGTGGGGGCGGTGTCAGGTCATGCAAGTAAAAAAGTGCCCATTGTGAGACCGTGCATGCATCCTCGCTAAACCCGCAGTGCCGCCTACTCTGTGTGCATGCAGAAGGGATGCCGTTGGTTTCTTGCGGCGGATGGGGATTAGAGATAGGCATTGCATCAAACATTCGCCAGAACGACTATTCTTCAGAGCAACCTTTCCACGGTGCTGAGCGTTTAAGTGCTATAGGTGTATGAATGTGGAGCATGTCTGCATCAGTCATTTCAGGACAAATTGAGCAGAATTTTCAGATGATATTGGATTGGATCTTTTTAGGTGTTCTTGCTATTCAAGTTGCTGTAACAACAACCCAAGTCCTTATTTCACGTACCGGAACTACTGGTGACTGTACCAAATTTAAGGCACTTAATTGTGGCCTACATGCATGGAATATGTTTAAGCAATGCCACAGTCAACCTGACTTGTTAGGCCTGATGCATCTTTGCATTCTGAGTAGGCAGTACCCTTTGCTTATTTATGCAAATGATTGACAAACCCACATGAAGGCCATACACATATTCTCACCATTATTAATATCTGCCTGTTCCATGTACATGATATGTTGGTGCCTAGTGTTGGAGGTGCTTGTGAACCCTGTTTGGGAGTAATTTAATAATATGCTTTATATATATATATATATATATATGTATATATATATATGTATATATATATATATATATATATATAAAAGATGCCAGGCCATTGTTTTTGAAAGTTAACAATGCAATAGCTAATAAGGGTTATGGAGACTGGTTTTAGAGGTTATTAAGCTGCTGGTTGTTGTGTCTCTTAACTGTCATTGTGATACCAGAAATCAAATATTGTTTAGGCTGCTAGTAATTCTTTCCCACCCACCCACCCACCCCAAAATAAAATACATTATGGTTCTACCATGGTTTATAGTAAATCTGTTCTGAAGTGATCTTATGTGGCATAATGTGATCTAAAGTGATCATGATGTGGCATCCTGAAAGAATAAATGTCATTGTTCATGTGTGCAACTTCTTAGAAGCTGCCGTTCAAAACCAGGTAGGGTCTTTTACACTCTTATTATTTGTGATCCACTGACAGATTTGACAATTTAGGGTGGGCTGTGCAGGTAATGGATATAGACTAATAACAAACATCTGTCTTGGTGTATTTGTCCATACTTGAATGAATGAACATATAAGACTAGCTGCCATTTCCATGCAATATGGAATACTAAGATATTAGACAAACATAGATACAACTATATTATCTAGGTCCAGATAGACCTCTGTGGTTTTAAGAACATGCCCCTGATGTTGAAATCACCCAGTGAGAGCTGGTATGGTGCTCCTATCTTAAGCCCTCATGATAACCTCTTGAAACACTTGAAACAAGCACTTCACTTTGTTCATGTGAAACAAACAACAACAGATGTAATAATCCATCCTGCTGCTATATTTTTTAAGGGAAGGTGTTAAGAGGGTTCAAGGGATGTGGCCGACAGATTCAGAAGTGAACTTTTTTAGTGCCTGGATACTTTTAGTCTTTGTATGTTTTAATATGTTGCAAGGAACATGCAATTTAGCACTGTTCAGATGCTTATATTGCAGCTTTAACCTCTGCACAACAATGTAAAACCTGGCAAGAAAAATATTTAAAACTTGGGCAAGTATAAAAAGCTGGTCACAGTTGTTGAATTGTCATTTCTTGACAATTCTGACAACATTCTTTTCATCCCCTCAAGGTTTGCTTGCAATGAGGGATCAGATGGCAAAAACCAACCACAGAGCATTTGTTTGAAAAACCCAAAACTAATTCAACACATGGCAGTGTGGTTAAGCTTTTGTGCTAATCACAAATCATGTTTTCTTTTTTTAATAGATCTTGTGGTGTCCTTTTGCACAAGTGCCATAAGGTCACCAGTCCCAGCAGGCCATCATTGGAGCTGTCCCCCCCCCCCACACCTGGAGTGCCATGAATGTGTCCAAGAGGGCTGGCTCCTGTGACACTGGGCTGGCTCCTGTGGCAATGGGTGATGCTTGAGTACAGCCTGTGTCAGGGTGGTCCCGGTCTCCATCTGAGGCTCCGGCTACCCCACACCTGGACATCTGACAGACACTACAAATTCAAACTCAGTAGTGTAGCATATTTTGCAATCTACTAAGTGTGTGACAAAATTGATAATCATGAAATCTGATGTAGTATCCCAACAGGAATACATCACCAAATTAACGTCATCCTGGTGTAGAAGAAAACAATTCATGTATAACCAAGTCCCGCGAGGTCGAGCAAGAGGCAGAGGATTCAGAGGGAATGCCAGGGGCCAAGCCACACACCAGGTAAAAACTAGCATTATGAACTCAATCTTTTAGCTGTTGAAATGTGTTGAACATATTGAATTCTAAATTCTTTGTCATAAAAATTGAATTGTTACCTATGCTGCCACCAAACAAAGTATCAGCGTGAGTTATGACATTATGGAATTCCACATACAGTCAAAGTTTGATATGCTGGTTTGCAGTATGGCCGAGGCTGGGGCGGTGGCGGCGGGCAGCGTATCTCGCAGGCCACGCCTTATCAGCTGCAGCTGCCGACGACACCCCATCCACTGAACGCCGTTTGGGTCGACCGCGCCGGAAAGGCCTGGAGCGAGGAAGGTGTGTGCCGAGCAGGGTAGCCAGCCTACACTGAAAGATGCTGAAACGACAGCCAAGTGATGGTGGCTATTCACGTGCTGCCTGCACTGGATGCCGAAATAGTGCGGGCCATCTCTGCCGTGGACCGAGAGGGCTTCGGAATTATCCGACTACCGAACTGGCGCGTCGGTTTAGCTGTGCTGATCTGTGTAGCCCTGGGACAGGTACTGACCTGGGGTGCCCTTGGACATCCGTGGGACATATGTGGCCGCCATGGAGGCCCACAACTGCGGGACATGTGCGGCCGCCGTGGAGGCCCGTAATTGTGGGACATGTGTGGCCGCCGTGGAGGTCCGTAATTGTGGGACATGTGCGGCCCACTCTGGAGGCAGGTCTGATACCCTGACTCAATCTGGTCTGTGTGTGTGAGCTGCCGGCTGCCGCCGAGGACGGGTCTGATCACGTGACCTTGATATCCTGATCTCTGCATGTGTCGCCCGTTGGCAGGCGCTTTTCAAGGCTCCGCGGCAGCTGTCGTGGAAACTCTGGTCTGACCTGACATGACAACTATATGCCTGGGGTCAGCGGGCTCCGATCCAGACTCGGCCGCTGCGGAGGCCACGGTCTCGTCCCCTGACCCGACCTGACCTCTCTGTGCCGGTGGTCGTCAGGAGCCGGTCCAGACTCGGCTCTGGCCCAGGTGCTGCGGCAGGCGTTCGACTCAGCGTCGCAGCCCTACCTGCGCCTGCTGGACCTGGTTCTCTTCAGCTCAGACTATGCCAAAAACCGCCCTGACGGCCTGGCGGCAGCAGGTGAGCCCCAGTGGCGCCCGGCCTCTTCAGGCGAGCCCCGGCAGAGCCCCGCCCCTTCAGGCGAGCCCAGGCGGAGCCCCGTCGTTTCAGGTGAGCCCCAGCAGAGCCTCCGTGCTGCCCTGTGGTCTCCGCTCAGCCCTTTACCAGCCCATGGCTTTCGTCCTGACTCTCTATCTCGTCATGTTATGCCGCGCGACGTGTTATCTTTGTTTCGTTTCGTGAAGCCGCGCGGACACGACCACCGCCCAATCTCCCGCCGGCCACCCGCCCTGCAGCCGTCGCTTGGTCACGTGACCGGGGGTGAGTGATCGAAGCGGAGCGCGGCGGTCGAAACGGGCCACATGACTGAAGGCCTGAAGGCAGAAGTTGACGCTTCAACAATCGGAATTTACAGTTGGGGACGTCGCAGCAGACTTGAGGTTTAGAACAGAGTGTCCATGGACTGGCAAGGAATGTCCGTGTGGCGGGGGGATTTGCGATCTGGCAGCACTGCGGTGTAGTCAACACGAGGGACGTACACAAACGCCAGCCCGAGCCCACATGCCAGAACCGTGAATATTCGACGGTGGGCGCGGTGGGGGGCGGAGGGATACGGCGCTGTGAGGGGGAACAGTGGGATGCTCTTCACCAGCTTCAGCCTGATTCCGGAGTGGCTGGCATGCTTGTCCCAGCTGTCCTTGTTCACTGCAGCCCTTGCAATTGATGTGCCTGAAAACCCCCAAATCATCGTCACGCCCAGCTGTAAAGACCAGACTCCCCCCTCACCCCCTGTCTCCCTGTCTTCCTCTCCCTTTTCGTCTCTCTCTCTCTCTTTCCCTCTCCCCATCCCTTTCTCCCACTGCACATAGTAGAAGATCAGAGCAACAGCTAGAATGTCTGGAAATGGTGTCCAATTATGAGTTTTGTTTCTGTCTTACATGTAATGACTAATGCAGAATGTTTGCCAGCACAATTTAGCATGTTTGGCAGAGCATGGATATTGCACCAACCACACCAAAGACATTCTGTAGACCAGCACCATAGCCAGGGTTTTTTATGGAGAGGGGTGCATGGTGTGAACTCATCAGTCATCATTTCAGAGACCATCTGTGGTGCCAAAATACAAAGTGCATGCCTGGGTGGAGGGGGGGGGGGGGGGAAGGGGAGGTGAGCTAGGGCTGGGGCTACATTTTGGCCATACCTATACTGTGTGTATGGCCCTTGGCAAAGAGGAGCATAAGGCTGGAATTGTCCTTTATACTCAGATGGCTCATCTTAGGGCTACATGAAACTAGGGATATTTAAACACATTTTTGATGTTCAGAAACAAGAAGCAGATGAACCCAGCTGTTGAGGCCAGGTGTTGAGCAGATTAACCCAACTGGTTGTGTCCTTGATGCACAGGTCACCCTCCAACAAATCATGGAACAATATAGAAGCAAGGTCTACTGCAGGGTATATCAGATATCACTTCCCTTAATTTTTTGAATGCCAAAAAGCTTATTTTGTCCTGCCAATATTTTTAGAAAAGGGTTCTTGAAATAAATCTTGAAATGCTCAAAAATTATTCCTTTGCCTACCCTGATTTGCCTCACTTCATGGTCATTTGAATAACTCACCATGAGTGGGTGACTTCCTTCCAGTAAGGAACAAGATTGGAAGTTCATATGGAAAGGTTAAAAAATTAAGCAAAGAATGGTTGATCACCCTCCAAGATCCACACCACCCCTTGGTACCTGCATGTGGTCATGAGGCATGGATCCCAGGACATAATATAGGGCCCTGGGTTCCAGATTTCCATGATCCAGGTAACACTGGAAGTTTGGTACAGGATGTTTTGGAATCTGGGGTCCAGTTCAAAACTTGTCAAAGATCCTAGAGGTCTAAGTATGTTTGGGATCCAGGATCCCTGCTTTATTTTTCCTAAAGATCCTCTGGGATCTGGCATATTCTTTGAGGTCCTAGCACATATCTGTGTGAGACATTGGTCTTTGGTTCCCAGACAGGGACTCATCTTGTGCTGTATGCATTTTTATTTGAGCATGGGGGTTTTCAGGCTCTAACAGTGTTCCTTATTTCTGTTTCAGTATTGAATGCCTTCCGGTCCTGGGCTGAGGATTCTTACAATGGAGTGCAGAACATGCCTCAATTCTTAATAACAGATAAAGTCAGGACAATGGCGTTCAAGGTACGTTCCTTATGTTGTTAGTAACAGAATCATTGAAAAGTCCTAAGCAGTTTTTTAAGGTGCATTCATGAGATCGATTTATCCCATGATGCTCATTTGGTTACTGTTGCTGGTTTCATTAAAGGGAATGTTAACATTTTAAGGTATGGAAGCAACCACAAGGTATGAAACAAGCTCACATAGCTATCGGTGTATTTTGGAAGTGGAAAGACTGTTCTAGACAGCACAATTCTGTGTTAGTCAAGATGCTCCTCAGTGCGTCATGGTTTGGTTATGTCATCGTACCCTGCACAACATTGATTGAGAGTCAATTGGCTGCCGTTATATATGGAAATCGCGCTAGCGAACGCGATATGGACGCCTTGACAATCAAACGTTTATTGGTCTTGATCGTCGCATGGCTTGTGGAATGGCTGGATTTGAATGGCATCATTATGACGTCGTGGATGCCAAGGTGACTTTGAAATGCTCTCGCCTACATGCCGTTCCCCGTTTTCGCGAGCGTGCAGCTCATAAACTAGAGGGTCCCAGGCCTTAAAGGAGCTTAGGTTTTTAGCGGTTTGGATCTTAAAGGGATAAAAGGGGTCCTTATATATAAAAGGAATGTAGGTCCCTTTAAAGGGAGTGTTCCACTATATGTGGGGTTCACTGAAATAGCCATCTTGAAGGCCTTTCGTTGCTGTTCACAATCTTGCCCTTCTTAAGACCAAAGCCCCTTTTATCTAGAGCTACACGCCCACGAACATGGGGAAAGCAATATCGGGGAGCATATTTAAAAGTCACCTTGACATTCATGACGTCACAGTGACGTCATTCAAATCCTGCCATTTCATAAGCCATGATGGTTATCAAGTCCGAGAAAATACAATCGTCGAGGCGTTCATACCTGGCGTTCGTGAGCGCGATTTCCAGATATAACGGCTGTCAACGGGCTCTCAATTAATGTTGTGTGAGGTGCGATGATGTGATCAAACCATGACACCTTGAGGAGCATTTTTATCAAACGAGTATTGTGCTGTCTAGGGCAGTCCTTTCCACAAAAAATAATCTTAATAGTTACAAGTGAGCTTGTTTTATCATATGTGATGCCTGCTCCAATATCCTTGGATGTGAGACATTCCCTTTAATCACAGTTATTTTGTGGATGCTTGCTTCCATATCTTCGACTGTGAATTATCCCCTTGAACCGCAGCTACTTTTGTGTTTGCATGTGTGGAAGACCATCGGATGTATGTGCATATTCCTCACATGGAACAAATTTTGACGCGCGGAGCTCTCAACATAACCTGAAACTTAGACATGGTCAATGCCAGCTGAAGCTGTCCATGTGCTGTTTCAGGCAACATTCAGCATTCTCACAAAAACAGCTGGCAAACGTGGCCTACGATGTCTTGCTTCCACACATATGTCTGAATCTGATGGAAGGATCCCAGGGCCGAAAACTTCAGATTTGGGAAAAATTTCAAGGAAGAACTTGCAAAAGTTGTCTAACTTTGCATGAGTCAATTCGGAAAGCTCAAAATAAAAATCTACAGAAATGTCGAATTCCTTATAATCTCGTGACATATTTATAAAGCAGATTTCAAATTTCAAAATTTTGAAAGTGCGGAAAAGTTTGAGGCCTTAAAAAGATTTTCTCAACCGAATTTTATAACGGCTCCGGGACACAAGATCATCCAACAAAATTTGAAAATCGATCATATATCGCAGAATATCCGGTATGCATGACTCAGATCTGGTCTACGGATCCATTTCCGCCATCTGGACAGATGTATGGGACTCGCTCCGCTGCCCACAATGCTGGGATGTCTGCTGGGCTACCCAGAGGACAGTTGTGGACTGAGACCGATATGCGGTCGTTCATACATTACGTGACGCATATTTGACATTTCCCAGCATCTCTTTCCCCTGGTAACACAGTGGTTGCGATAGGTAGAACCTTTTTGCGGTTTGCGCTGTGCCAAGCTTAGCGTTCCAAATGGTGGCGTCCGTTTGACCTCTAATCTAGCGGCGCGAAATACACGGCGTGTCTTTTGTCATGAGACGGGGCAGCAGTGTACAACGTTAAGGTTTTAAAACATATTTTTAGATTTTTGCATGGTTTCCAACCACACCCGGGCGTAACGTTGCGCTGCTCAGCGTAGAGGAGACCTCTCCCCTCCACGCTTACGTGCTTTATGGGCGACCCCCGTAACGTATTCAAGGTGGATGCACTTTGTGCCACATCTAAGTATGTCACCGTAGAGATGGTGCTCGTGTGCGGCTGAGCCGAGCACTGCTCTGGCAGGTGATGGGTAACCAGGAGTGCTCGTACGTCAGCGCGGAGGTGGTGCCCGTGTGCGGCTGAGCCGAGCACTGCTCTGGCAGGTGATGGGTAACCAGGAGTGCTCGTACGTCACCGCGGAGGTGGTGCTCGTGTGCGGCTGAGCCGAGCACTGCTCTGGCAGGTGATGGGTAACCAGGAGTGCTCGTACGTCAGCGATGCCATAGTGGAGCTGTGCGGCCTGTCCGGCTCCACGCACCTGTTCGTCGACGAGATCCACAAGATGCTGCAAGCAAAGGACTATAAAAAGGTGCGGTAGGACATGCGCGAGAAGCCTCGGCTGTCGCGTCCTGCTTGACGCACGAGGACGCACATCTGTCACGCTTGTGTGCCGCTGCATGCGTCGAGGTATGCTTGTCACAACTCTGTTCGTACGACGCAGGGCACGCATTCGGCATCACCGTCTCGCGTACATAGCCGCTGATGTGGATGAGACATGTCGTCCTCGCTACGCTCCGGGGCTGGAGCCAGCCACTGTACTGCGATCCACGCGCGCCGCTGAGTGTGAGCTACCAGTCTCGACTTCACAGCAGATTGACTCACAGCGCAGCGCGATGGGCCGCCGCCGCGGTGCTCGCGTTACGGTATGCGAACACGTGGGCTCGCGCTGCAGGCGGCGGCGGCTGGATGGCATGCTCGGACGCTCCTGCCGTGCGTGCCGCCGGGCTGCCGTCGCCCGTGGACGGAGCTCCGGCAGCAGGTGCCGTTGCGGCGCGCCCGACCGACCCCGGCCCGCCGCCGTTGCCGACAGGCGTGCCAGATGGCCACGCGGCTGCGGCTGCACAACCGGTTCGGCGTGAACGAGTTCGTCGTGCCGCTGGTGCTGCTGGACCGGGCCAACGTGGCCGAGCAGTTCTTGGCCGACTCGCCGCGGCGCCAGGCCGAGGCGGTGGCTGCGCTCGACGACCTGCTGGAGCGCAGCCTGCCGCAGGTGGCCAGGTGAGACGCGTGGCCGCGTGCGACGACCTGCTGAAGCGCAGTCTGCCGCAGGTGGCCAGGTGAGACGTGTGGCCGCGCTCGGCCTGCTGGAGCGCAGTCTGCTGTAGGTGGCCAGGTGAGACGCGTGGCCGCGCTCGGCCTGCTGGAGCGCAGCCTGCCGCGGGCGGCCAGGTGAGACGTGTGGCCGCGCTGGGCCTGCTGGAGCGCAGTCTGCCGCGGGTGGCCAGGTGAGACGTGTGGCCGCGCTGGGCTTGCTGGAGCGCAGTCTGCCGCAGGTGGCCAGGTGAGACGTGTGGCCGCGCTGGGCCTGCTGGAGCGCAGTCTGCCGCAGGTGGCCAGGTGAGACGTGTGGCCGCGCTGGGCCTGCTGGAGCGCAGCCTGCCGCAGGTGGCCAGGTGAGACGCGTGGCCGCGTGCGACGAGCTGCTGGAGCGCAGTCTGCTGTAGGTGGCCAGGTGAGACGTGTGGCCAGCACTGCGGCTCTGCGGCTTATTACATGCCAGGTTGGCTGGGTGGAGTGGGTCGCTCATGTCCGGTGTGTATCGCTTTCTCTAGCTTTCTGTGTCTCTCTGTATGTGTCCATCTCTATGTGCCCATTTATATATTATGTTCCGTCTCTGTCTCACTATCTCTGTCCCTGTCCCTGTCCCTGTCCCTGTCACTTTCCCTCCCCTCTCTATCGCTGTCGCTCTCGCGCTCTCTCCCATGCTCCCTCTGTCCCGTACTCTTTCTCCCGTGCTTTCCTCCCGTGCTCTCTCTCTCCCTCTCCCTCTGGGCGCAAAATGACCATTGAAGTCGACGCGCCCGAAAACACCAATGAACAACTCCCTCTCTCGCGCTCTCTCCCTTCTGACCGTGCATTCTTTGCCGCAGCAACCTGGGCATGTCCGGCTTCTCGAAGGACACGGTGAATCAGAAGACGCTGAAGAAACTGATTGAGCGCTTCTGCAAGCGCTTCCAGCTGGAGTTACGTCAGGTGGCTCCGAACACTGCCCTGTTCTCGGCTCGTGCCACCATGCACTACCTGTTCTACCGGCGCTTTAAAGAGGACAGCATCAGTAAGGAGATCTTCTCACCGAAACACGTTGTGCCTTCCGAGACGGTCAGCAGAAGTCGATGCCATTGAATGGGAGCTGGTGTCTTCTAGTCACAGCAGCTTCTGCATTCGATGACTGGCTTCTGGGTGGCGTTTGAGGAACATCGCGTGTTGGATGCGCACGTCTCGCCTGTGCCGTGGAGCTCTCACTTGTTCCTAACACCCGGTAACCAGTCGCGTCCCGCCATCTGCCGCAGAGCCGGACGACTGCGAGGACTTCCTGGTGGACATTCTGGCCGACTACCCGGAGCTGATTCAGAGCGCGCTCGATATCCTGAGCCGGTGAGCGCGCAGGAGCCGGGGCTCTGGCCTGACCGACTTCTGCCGCCTGGTCCGATGGGCGGAGGGCTCGCGGCCCGGCCATTTCCTTGTATCACGGCTCCAGCTGCACGGCTTCCCACTGCTGTGCCGTCCCTCTGCATCGCAGCTCCAGCTGCACGGCTACCCACTAATGTGCCATCCCCCTGTATCACGGCTCCAGCTGCGCGGCTGCCCACTGCTGTGCCGTCCCACTGCATCGCGACTCCAGCTGCACGGCTGCCGGCTGCTCTGCCATCCTCCTGTATCACGGCTCCAGCTGCACGGCTGCCCACTGCTGTGCCGTGGGCAGCCGTGCAGCTGGCAGCCCACTGCATCGCGACTCCAGCTGCACGGCTACCCTCTGATGTGCCATCCCCCTGTATCACGGCTCCAGCTGCACGACTGCCGGCTACTGTGCCATCCCCCTGTATCATGGCTCCAGGTGCACGACTGTCGGTTACTGTGCCATCCCTCTGTATCACGGCTGCAGGTGCACGATTGTCGGCTACTGTGCCATCCCTCTGTATCACGGCTGCAGGTGCACGACTGTCGGCTGTTGTGCCGTCCCCCTGTATTACGGCTCCAGCTGCATGCCTGTTGACTGCTATACCATCCCCCTGTATCACGGCCCCAGGTGCATGACTGCCGGCTGCTTTTTTCCGTGTCTTTGATGCCCTGCGATTTATCCGTCCTAGTTGCACTTGCTGTTTTTGAGAGCAGGTGCAAGTTTGACTGGTACACGCAGTGCGGAGAACTGCAACGCGCATTGGAATAGCAGTGCATCTCGTCAAAACGATCAAGACGCTGGGCGTGAGCGCCAAAGGCCTGTGTCAGAGCGCCGCCTGGGGCACGTGACGCGCCGCCGGCCGTCAGCGGCGGTCGCTGTGTCGCCGGTGCGCGGCGCCTGGCTCCGCTGACGTGCCGCCCGCTCTGTCCGACAGGAAGCAGGCGTACCGCACAGGCGTGAATGTAGCGCTGACGCTGGGCGTGCCGGAGCGCGAGCTGCCGCCGGACCTGGCGCACCACTACCACTATCCGCCGTGAGTGGGCCGCGCGCGGGCGGTCGCCACCGCCGCCTGTCGCTCCTCCGACCGTTGATGTGACGCAGGCGCTGGCGTACGGAGGCCGACCGGCCGGCAGCGGAGTACGGTCCTACTGGACTACCTGTCTAGCACGCGCTTGTGACCCCCGCAGAACGTCAGGAACGCTCTGCTGCGCAGCTGCAACAGGTGCCACAGTTGACTATGGGCCAGCTGGGTGCGCCGCATTCTGTGGGCGGGGGCGGTGGTGGGGAGACCTGCTGCGGCCGGCGGCTCCTGCCGGGTGTGCCTCATTCTGTGGGCGGGGGCGGTGGTGGGGAGACCTGCTGCGGCCGGCGGCGCCCGCCGGGTGTGGGGACCCGGGTGCCTGACCGCACCGCCGTGCTCGTCAGGGAGATGGACGCCGACATGGAGGACCGGCCGGCGGCCAGCCCGCACGCCCGTCAGTTCTACCGGATGCCGGACGTGCGAGTGGAGCTGGTGGACAGGATGGAGCAGCTGCCGACCGTGTGCGACGCGCTGGAGCAGGTCAGAGGCGCGCCGGCGGCGGCGGCGGGGCTCGGCGGTGCCGCTCAGCCAACTGCCCTGAGCGGAGCCGACGAGGTGCCGCGGCTCACTGCCGAGCTAGACACTCCTCAGAGTGGCCCCGGTGCCGACGAGGTGCCGCGGCTCACTGCCGAGTTAGACACCCCTCAGAGTGGCCCCGGAGCGGACGAGGTGCCGCGGCTCACTGCCGAGTTAGACACCCCTCAGAGTGGCCCCGGAGCGGACGAGGTGCCGCGGCTCACTGCCGAGTTAGACACCCCTCAGAGTGGCCCCGGAGCCGACAAGGTGCCGCGGCTCACTGCCGAGTTAGACACTCCTCAGAGTGGCCCCGGAGCGGACGAGGTGCCGCGGCCCACTGTCGTTAGGCACTCCTCAGAGTGGCCCCGGTGCCGACGAGGTGCCGCGGCTCACTGCCGAGTTAGACACTCCTCGGAGTGGCCCCGGAGCCGACGAGGTGCCGCGGCTCACTGTCGTTAGACATTCCTCAGAGTGGCTCCGGAGCCGACGAGGTGCCGCGGCTCATTGCCGAGTTAGACACGCCTCAGAGTGGCCCCGGAGCCGACGAGGTGCCGCGGCTCACTGCCGAGTTAGACACTCCTCGGAGTGGCCCCGGAGCCGACTAGGTGCCGCGGCTCACTGTCGTTAGACACTCCTCAGAGTGGCTCCGGAGCCGACGAGGTGCCGCGGCCCACTGTCGTTAGGCACTCCTCAGAGTGGCCCCGGTGCCGACGAGGTGCCACGGCTCACTGCCGAGTTAGACACTCCTCAGAGTGGCTCCGGAGCCGACGAGGTGCGGCGGCTCACTGCCGAGTTAGACACCCCTCAGAGTGGCCCCGGAGCGGACGAGGTACCGCGGCTCACTGCCGAGTTAGACACTCCTCAGAGTGGCCCCGGAGCGGACGAGGTGCCGCGGCCCACTGTCGTTAGGCACTCCTCAGAGTGGCCCCGGTGCCGACGAATAAATCATTTGCATGCAGCTGAAGTCACGTGCTGACAGACGGGAGAGCTTTACGTACCCAGTTTGGGCTCCGGTCCCGCGCGTGGTGGTGAGCTCTCTACTGTGTTCTGTGTGTGCCCGGTGTCTAGTTATTGAGGCTAATATGTTCCGACTGCTCAGTACAGCTACTACAGTGACCTCAGGACAGTGCCTGGGGTTTCCTCCTCCCTCTCCCCAGTCCTTGGCGGTTGCAATGGTAGGGCGAGAGTCGGCCGTGATGATTGTGGGGCGGGTAGTTCTGGCACCGTTGTCTGATGGTGGTATGAAGATTACCAGTTATCGTTGCCCGCCGCCAGACGAGCCGCTGTGCACACAGTGACGGGGTGGGGTGCGGGGGGGGGGGATCAGAAAATGCGGCCGGTCTGCTGCTGCGCCGACGATGCCGCCTCCTGCCGGTCTGGGCTGCGACTGACGGTGCTGCCACCTGTTGACAGTACGACGGCGTGCTCGGACTGGACGCCGAGTGGAAGCCAATCACCGTACGAGACTGGAACAGGGTCTCGCTGCTCCAGGTGAGCTGCGTCGGCCGGCCTGCGTCCCGACGCCCCGCCCACACCGCGCTGCCGGCCGGGTGTGCGCGCGGGCGACGGGTCGGCTGGGGGTCATCTCGGGTTCACCGGGGTCATCTTGACATGGTCGGTGGAGGTCATCGGTGCGGTCGTGTGGCGAACCTCAGTCGGCCGCCGTGGCTGTCGGCGGCTATGTGGCGAGCGTCAGTCGGCCGCCGTGGCTGCCGGCAGCTGTGTGGCCGGTAGCGGTGTGGCGAGTCCCAGTCGGTCGCTGAGGCTGCCGACGGGCGCGTGGCCGGTAGCGGTGTGGCGAGTCCCAGTCGGTCGCCGAGGCTGCCGACGGCTGTGTGGCCGGTGACCGTGTGGACAGCCTCAGTCGGCCGCCGTGGCTGCCGGCGTCTGTGTGGCCGGTAGCGGTGTGGCGAGTCCCAGTCGGTCGCTGAGGCTGCCGACGGGCGCGTGGCCGGTGGCCATGTGGCGAGTCCCAGTCGGTCGCCGAGGCTGTCGGCGGCTGTGTGGCCGGTGACCATGTGGACAGCCTCAGTCGGCCGCCGTGGCTACCGGCGTCTGTCTGGCCGGTAGCGGTGTGGCGAGTCCCAGTCGGTCGCCGAGGCTGCCGACGGGCGCGTGGCCGGTAGCGGTGTGGCGAGTCCCAGTCGGTCGCTGAGGCTGCCGACGGGCGCGTGGCCGGTGGCCGTGTGGCGAGCGTCAGTCGGCCGCCGTGGCTGCTGGCAGCTGTGTGGCCAGTGGCCGTGTGGTCAGCCCAAGCCGGCCGCTGTGGATATCATAGTATATTCGTATATTTCACACGAAATCCAATCAGCAGATTTTCATCCATGCGCAAGTATGTAAAGGGAGGCTGATGCAGCACGCGCACACGTGACTGCCACTCAAATCTTACACACCACCCGGACCGCATGGCTGGTGGCGAGACAGTTAGACAGCATCACGACTTCTACGCTCCTCTTGAGTGCTGACTTAACGTGAGACCCTCTTCACGCATGTTGTGGCACACCATATTGTAAGATTGCACTGCGCTGTACACGGGTTGACCGCCGCTGGTCTCTGCTCTGACGGGTGGAGGCCGCGGCAGGTCGGACTGTCCCACCGTGGGCTGACGGCGGCGCGTGCGCGGTGACCGGCAGGTGGCCACCAGCCGGCTGGTGTACGTGCTGGACCTGCTGCAGCTGACGGTGGTGTCGCCGCTGATGGAGAGGCTCGGCGCCGCCATCCTCTGCGGAGACAACCTCAAACTGGGTAGGTGGGCGCGGCGCGCACCTCGAGCGCCCAATCTCCGGTGGCTGCGGACCGCGTCCTGGAGTCACGTTGTGCGCGTTTGGTGCGTCCGACTGAGCGACCCTTCTGCCGGCCAGGGTACGACCAGGTGAGCGACTTCGACATGCTGGAGAGTTCAGTGCCGTCATTCGCGAAGGCCATCATGGGCAAGAAGAACATGATGGACGTCAAAACCCTCGGCAGTCGTGTCGAGGAGGCGTTTCCAAACATTTTCCCGTACAAGGAAGGTGAGGCAGCCGTCTGGACGGGAACATGTTCGCGGCCGTATATGAACGCCACCGCGGCCTTTTCGCGGCCGGCGGCGTCCCGCGGCCTTTCCGCGGCCGGCGGTTCCTCACGCTATGCGGTCGCTCGCTCGTGTGGCATGAACGCTAAGGCCGTGTGCCGTGTAAATACTCGATGGGTCTCAGGACGCGCGCGCAGGCCGCTAGTCCGGTCACTGTGTCCACATTGCATGACTCGTCAGTCCGGCCGCCGCGCGCACGAACCGCTAGTCCGGTCACTGTGCCCACATTGCATGAGTCGCCAGTCCGGTCGCCGCGCGCACGAACCGCTAGTCCGATCACTGTGTCCACATTGCATGACTCGTCAGTCCGGCGGTCGCGCGCGCAGGCAATCAATAATGCCTGTAATGATATGAATGAAAACTAACCACTCTTACAGCAACCGAAAGGGGTGCCGGTAGTGTAGTGGTTAACACGTCTGCGTCAACCACTGCGCGTCTGGGAAACCAGAGGTACGGGGTTCGATTCCCCACAGTGCCCGCCCTTCCTGCCAGGGTGAGAGGCGGGCGACGCCATATAGCCTCAGCAGCTGAGTGCGTCGTAAAGCCCCAATCACACACACAACAGCGACCGAAAGGCAGTTCTAGTGATGAGTGTTGAGATTTGGGAGACTATTTAGCTACGCAGCATGACGCTGGCTGCGCCTCTGCCGTCAGCGCCGGCCGCGCGTGGCCAGGACGGCGCCGGCCGCCGCAAGTCCAAGGAAGCGGTCAAGGGCCTTAGCGAGCTGGTGCGCAAGTGCCTGGGCAAGCCGCTCAACAAGGAGGAGCAGTGCTCCAACTGGGGTCGCCGTCCGCTGCGCTCCAGCCAGCTGCAGTACGCCGGTGAGCGGCCGTCAGCGCCGGGCGTCGGCCGGTCGGCGGCGGGGGCTCGACAGAGGTGTCGTCCAGTGACGGCCCGGGCCGCCCGGCCCCGCCACCAACATGGCGCATCGGGGGTGCCGGTAGCGGAGTGGTTAACACGTCTGCGTTAACCACTGTGCGTCTGGGAAACCAGAGGTACGGGGTTCGATTCCCGACACTGCCTGCCATTCCTGCCAGGGTGAGAGGCAGACGATGTCATATAACCTCAGCAACTGGGTGCGTCGTAAAGCCCAATGACAATGACAGTATAGCGCATCATGATTTGACGGTTTGATTGACCTGCCTGCTGACGCGCTGTGCCGGACCTAAGGGGACGCTGCGTATGGTTCGACCTCGTGTTGACATGCGGGTGGTTGTGCTCTCGGGTGAGACCCCGCTCACCGTCCTGTCGCTACGGTGACCGGTGTTGTCCTGTGTTGGACAGCCTCGGACGCCTACTGCCTGATCGAGGTATACAACACACTGCGGGACGCGCTGTACGACCGCGAGGGCACCACGCCGGCCGCCGTTCTCAAGTGCATCATCACAAACACCGCGGCGCCCGCCAAGGCGCCGTCGGCCGCCAAGAACAAGCAGAAAAAGAGGCCCGCCGCGCCCGCGGGCAAGGTCAGTGCCGTCCACGGGATGCCGTGCGGGCAGGCTGCGCCCTGTTGCCGGTGTCGGTCCGCCCCCCCCCCCCCCCCCCCCTCCCCCTCCTGTCCGTCAGTGCCGCGTCACTCAGCGGTCATGGCTGGCCGCTGCCGCCAGCTGCTGTGGTGTTATCGCATGCCGCAGCTCCACCATTGGCATCTGGCATGCGATGGTGACTCGTGCCATGCACAGACCCGCCGCGGTGGCGGTCGAGACCAGCTTCCGCCTGCACCTGATCTGCCGGACGCGTTTGGTGGCGGCCGTCGGTCCCCGTTCGCCGACGCAGCCGCGTACCCAGGCGTCGGCCGGCCGACCCCTCACTCGGTGCACCTGCGGTAGCCGCGCTAAGACCAAAGTTGCCGATACAGGCACAGCTCGGTGGCTCGTCACGAGCCGCCTGAGGTGTGAGGACGTGCAGAACCGTGCCGCCGGCCGTCCCCGCCTGAAGTGCCGGGACGTGCAGGACCGCGCCGCCGGTCCTCCCCGCCTGAGCTGCGGGGACATGCAGAACTGTGCCGCCCCCCCTCCCCCCCGCCTGAGGTACGGAGACGTGCAGAACCGCGCCCCCAGGCCTCGCCGCTGCCTGGTCTCAAAGGTATTGCCACGGGTCGGCGTGGAAGCTTCCACAATCTCGAAAGGAAGCGCGCCAGATCCGTGGGCTTTTTCGCAAATGAGGCAATCGCTGGGGCAGGTTATCATGTTTGTTGGAGCCCCTTGTTTTTTGCCCATTCCAACCAAAGTGATTGCCCCAGTCTTAGAATGTAAGCGCCGCCACAGCGCCGGTGTGACCCGCCGTCGGCCGCAGGGGCCCGAGCTGGAGAACGCGCCGCCGCCGAACGCGCGCGCCATCCGGCCGGCGGCGTTCCGCGCCGTGTGCGACACCATGGTGCAGGGCCTGGGCAAGAAGCTGCGCAGCATCGGAGCCGACACAGTCATACTCGGTCAGTCGGGGCGCTGGGGAGCCGACAGTCATACTCGGTCAGTCGGGGCACTGGGGAGCCGACAGTCATACTCGGTCAGTCGGGGCACTGGGGAGCCGACAGTCATACTCGGTCAGTCAGGACGCTGGGGGGCCGACACAGTCATACTCGGTCAGTCGGGGTGCTGGGGAGCCGACAGTCATACTCGGTCAGTCGGGGCACTGGGGAGCCGACAGTCATACTCGGGCAGTCGGGGTGCTGGGGAGCCGACAGTCATACTTGGTCAGTCGGGGTGCTGGGGAGCCGACAGTCATACTCGGTCAGTCAGGGTGCTGGGGAGCCGACAGTCATACTCGGTCAGTCAGGGCGCTGCGGGGCCGACACAGTCATACTTGGTCAGTCAGGACGCTGGGGGGCCGACACAGTCATACTCGGTGGGTCGGGGTGCTGGGGAGCCGACAGTCATACTCGATCAGTCGGGGCACTGGGGGCCGACACAGTCATACTCGGTCAGTCAGGACGCTGGGGGGCCGACACAGTCATACTCGGTCAGTCGGGGTGCTGGGGGGCCGACAGTCATACTCGGTCAGTCAGGGCGCTGCGGGGCCGACACAGTCGTACTCGGTCATGCTTTTTGCCCCTTCCAACCAAAGTGATTGCCCCTGTCTTAGAATGTAGGCACCGCCGCAGCGCCGGTGTGCCCCTGCCGTGTGACAAGTATCCCAGCACTCGGTCAGTCGGGGCGCTGGGAGCTTCGGCCACGCCACACGCTGGTGCAAGCTGGTGCGTGCGTGCGTGCGTAGGTTTCGTTTTTACGGTGATTCATAATTGCAATTAATAATTCAACAGTTGATGGTCTTGGTTTATTAGCAAAATAGCGGAATGCTGTCTGCGATTGTCTTGAGTGTTCACTTTACGAATGTTGATACTTGGCATTGGTAATCGCACAAACAAGAACTGGTTTCGGTACTCGACAGCTACAGGCTATCGATATGTGTGGTTTACCTGTCAACGGTGCCCACAATTCGCAATTTGTTGATGCTGTTTTGTGCTTTCGTGCCAGTACCCATGAACAACACCTCGTCCATGCGATGACACCAACGGCACGTGGAAGCACGGTTCAGTTGACCGGCGCTGAAGCGCTGACGAGTGGCATGCCATGTGGACTCCAGCGGCGTTTATGACGGGTCTGACTCAGGGCCACGGGGCCTAGTACCCCAGATGTGCACTGGTCGGGCCATCGCAGCTCCGGGTAACCTGTTTAGATGAACTCTGTTGCTCTCGCTCGTGTCGATCAAAAGCAGTGCGTGCGCGTGAATAATACCTTGGGCGTTTTGCTGTGACCGTGGGACGACCCCTGCTCCCGCCGCCCGACACCCACCCAACAATTGGACCTGTTGCGTCGGCTTGGGGACGAAGACATGCGCCCAACCCCGCCGCCACCGAGCGCCGCGAACCCGCGCCGGTCGTGCCCGCAGAGAACGGCGAGGATCACGACACGTGCGTGGTGCTGGCGCAGCGCGAGGGACGCATCATCCTGACGCGCGGCCGCGCCCTGCACCGGCGCATGGTCGGCCTTGTGCCGGCCGGCCACTGCTACCACGTGGCGGCGGAGCGTGCCGCCGACCAGCTGGAGGAGGTGGTCCGCCACTTCATGCTGGACGTGGCTCCCGAGGACGTGCTGCGCCGCTGTCAGGTGGGGCTCGGCAGGCCGCGGACCACGTGTCACGGCCGTGCCACCTGCGCGACCGTCGTGGGACGCCTCTGGCACCGCCGCGCGACATCTCTGTGACAAGTGTGACATGCGTGACACCCGCGCATGATGGTAGCGCCCGTGTAACTCCGTCGCGACATACATAACTCGTACGTGACCGACGGTGGCTCGGCCGCCAGCACTGTAACTCGGGCGACTACTGGCACGTGCCGGGCGGCGTGATGCGCCAGCTGCGGGACCGGCTGGTGAGCGGCGGCCGCGGCGCCGGGCGGCGCCCCGAATACGTCGACCTCGAGCCCGGCGGCCCGCTGGTCGACCTCAACACAGGCGCCGTCAGGTGAGCCGAGACGGCGCGCGCCGCTCCCGCGGACGGGGACGCCAGCGAGGCACGGACTGTGGGAAAGCGGGCCAGGCCATCTGCTCGTACGGGATGGGTGGTCTACAGGGAGATGCGTCGGGAAGCGGCTGGCTTGTGGGGCTTCACGTCTCGCTCGAAATACCAACACGTCACCGTATCATGAGGTTGGCGCGGCGCCTGCTGTCGCTGGACAGTCGCGGCAGACCAGCGGATGTGCTGTGCCGTGGCGGCTCGAGCAGCGCGGCCGCTGTCACTGGCGGCGTGTTCGCTCCGACCGCAGCGTCGCACAGCTGCGATTCGTCACCCGCTGTTGGCTGCCCGCCCGGGAGAGCGGCGTCCGCAGCGGGTCTCCTGTCGCGGCGGGCTGTGCAGCGGTGGTCCGACTGACCTCCCTCCCCCTGCCCCTCCAGCGACTGCACGGTGTTGGTGCAGGCGGCCGGCCTGCACACCACCACTCTGGACGCCACCGACACCTTCTACGTGTGCCAGAGCTGCGGCCACGTCTACTGGGCCGGCTCCCACTACGGCAAATACATGGCGGGCCTGGGCCGCATTGTGGGCGGGGCGCACGGGGTGAGTACGCCGCGGCCACGCAGCCGCGCTCGGCGCAGAACGGCGCGGCTCGGCCGGTGGCCGTGCGTGCTCTTCTGGGCTGGTTGGTGTGCCCCCTTCCCGCCGCCGCTGCTCGGGGTGTCTGTCCATCCGTGACTATCCTGCGCCACGGCCTCTTGACCCAGGTCAGCGCTGTTCCGTTTTGCACTGGTGGTGTATTGTTGCCATTCTGATCATCGATCGGTACGAAAGCACTTGACACTAGTCAGTGACGACCAAGCGCGCCTCCAGCGCCGAGGCGTCTGTGCGCCGCCGAGCTGACCGGGCCGGCGTGCCGCTGACCCATCGTCCGTGTCTGCCGCAGGAGGGCGCGTGCGGAGGCCCCACCGACGCCGCGCCCACCGCCCAGCTCAACTCCATGAGCATGGCGTGCGGCTCTGACTCGGAGTCCGACGGCGGATACTTCTAGCGCCGCCGGGCTGCTCGCGAGCCGGCCGACGACGCCCACACCCTTCAGCAGGCGCCGCCACAGCGCCGGACGTGCTGGGCGCGCCGCGCCGGCGGACGTGCGGCTCTGACTCGGACTCGGAGTCCGACGGCGGATACTTCTAGCGCCGCCGGGCTGCTCGCGAGCCGGCCGACGACGCCCACACCCTTCAGCAGGCGCCGACACAGCGCCGGACGTGCTGGGCGCGCCGCGCCGGCGGACATGCGGCTCACGCCGATAATCCTAGACAATTATGATACGCCGGGCTTTGTTCTGTTGCTTGTTGCTGTCCCTCGGCGACCATACCCGGGGTGCTCTGTAGCGCGCCGCTCTGGGCTGGAATGTGGCTCCTCTCGTGGGAAGCGCCCGCCCGACATACTGTGATGCGCGCACTACGCGCGCCGGGGCGGGGCGGGGCGGGAAGATGGTTTTACTGGAGCCTGGCAGGGCTGTGGCGCGACCGCTGCCTTCACTGCTGCTGGCACCACTCGGGAGTACGACGCGCGGGCGGCCCGGGCGCCGCGCCGCCACTGTGATAGGCGAGTGTACAAACGGCGTGTGCTGTGCAAACGGCGGAAGAGCGGGAAGGAGGGCTGCCGCGGCGGAAATACACACGGGCTCCGGACAGCCAGAGGTGGCCTTTGTCACGCGCTCCCGTGCGGCGCCGCCGGCCCTGGTCGGCAGCCGAAGCACGCGTGCTGGCTGCAGGCGACAGGTGCCGGGCCCAGACCCAGCGCGCTGTGTGAGAGGAGCGGCAGTGCGGTCGGCATTCGAGTAGCGAACCGCGCGTGGGCCCAAAGATCAGAGACATCGAATCGGCGTTTGTTCAGCCCCGCGTCTTAGGAAATTTGGAGTAACGCGCAAGTCAAGGCGAGCCACATGGTCACGCTAACGTCAACGCTGCAGCCGTCAGCTGCCAGGACTGGCCAAGCTGCACCGGAGCTGGAGCTCTTGAGTGCAACTGCCGGGACTGGCCAAGCTGCGCCGGAGCTGCAGCACCTGAGCGTAACTGCCGGGACTGGTCAAGCTGCGCCGGAGCTGGAGCGCCTGAGCGTGACTGTACCGAGCCCTGGGTTTGAGCCGGCCAACCGGCTGGTATGTGGCCGCACAACACGGCAGCCAGCATGAGCACTGAGCCAGGGTCGGCGAACATACACCTGTATTGACCAGGGCATCGTAAAATACCACAACAGTATAAAACGGTATTATTAACAAATCACCGATGGCTGTGCTCGTCCAGGAGAAGCCGACCGCCAACACACAGATCCGCTGTCCACCGCAAACCATACAACGCTGACAAACTCACAGCAGTTGGTGGATTCGATGGCGGGCCGAGGCGGCGGCGCTCAGTCGGGCAGCGGCACGAGCAGCGTGCTGTCCGTGACGGGCACGCCGCGCACTCCGCCCGCCTCGATCTGGTAGTAGGCGGCGTCGGCTGCCAGGTGGGGCGCCGAGTGCACGCGCAGCTGCATGAGCCGCGGCGCCGCCTCCGACGGCCGCTCCCTGCGGTGTGGCACGCCGGCCGCCGTTACACGGGCAGGACACGCACCAAAGCTGCGGGATGCTGATGATGGTGTTCACGCCAGGCTTGTTTCTGTGATGTGTGAATACTGAAGGCAATAGTAGCAAGCGCTGTTCGGGTCCCCACGCGGAGGCCAGATGTCAGTAATGCGGTTTACGAAACAGATGTAATTTCCGCTACAATAATACTGTGAGGAGATTTCAGTCCATACCTAATCGTACCCTCTTTGATAATCAAGCATGTTACAGTCCGGTTCTAGTTTTGAGCCTTGCTTTGGGGACAGTTTTGGTGTTTGTTATTAGTTCAACTACTTTCTTCTCGAACCAAATTAGAGAAATCGCGCCCGTGCCTCCCGGTACTCTTTTGGTGCTTTTAGACGAACCTGATGAGAGAAAGAAAAACAAAAGCTGGTGAAGGATTTTCGTCCAAAACCACGATTGACACTAGCAGGTAATAGCATCGATGTCCAAGCCCTGCAGGGTCATTTACAACACCAGCAACCATTCGGCGCCTTACAGCAGACCACGCAAAAGCACAGCCAATGGGCGCCCCGCCCCGACTTTGGCGGCAGCGCCCGCGTCAGCGAAATCGCTCTGGCCACAGCAGTAATACTCCGGTCAAGCAAGTTGCAACATATCAGCCCTGGTAGGATGTGACCCGACAGGACGGGCAGGCCGCGCCTTCTCGACCATCGGGGGCCCACAGCGCCGGAGAACCGTGACAAGACCGGCGCCGTCCTGTGAGCCAGGCTAGTCCATTCACGCGGCCAGACCCCGCCAAGGGAGGTCGAGGGTGCCGTCTGACCGCGGCCCTCCCCAGCGCGTCACGGTGCGGCCCGAGCGCCGGCGGGCCGCCCCCGACCACCTGTGGCGGGCCGCACTCACCGGTGCGCCAGGCTGAACCTGGTGCGCGTCGTCTGGAGCCGGCATGTCACCTGGGTGGCCCAGGCGAGGCCCAGCGCCGGCGTCACGCCGCCGGCCGCCCCGTCACGCGGCACGCTCGTCACCTGCCGGCCGGACACGTCACGCCGTCAGCGGCACGGCCGCCACAAGACGCGCCCCGGCGCCGATCAGCGCGCGCAGTCGGACGCTGAACAAACTGAGGCGAATACTGCGCGCTCTGGGCTCTAGCAGCAACGCGAAATGGTCACGTGGAAGGAGGAACTGAACTGAAACCACATGTTCATACTCAGGGAGGTGATGATCGCTGTCTCCCCCCCCCCCCCCCCCCATCTGTAGACGTGTCATGGTCTGAGGCAGGAACGGCAGACTAGAGGGGCAAGGGGGGGGGGGAGCAATCCCTAGTAACATTTCACATAAACCCTACGGCGGCGCAAGCAAAAGGCGAAACTGAGTTCCCCATCTCCACATCAGTTCCATCCCCGCTGACCCGAGAGGCGAATTACTAGTTAGCCACTAGTCAGGCATTATGGTAAAAACTAGGCTGGGGTAAAACCACTCAACGGATCTGCAATCTGCTGACCAATCAAGATCGGTGACAGATGCCGTCGTCAAAATTGGCGGTGTACGCATCAACCACACCCGTTACCTCACCTACCATACCGAGCACGTGAGTCCGGTGGAAAGCGGCGAACGCGGCTAGCCGGTGACCACGGTCGTTGCTAAGCATCACCTTCAAATCACAGGAACACGCCCCGAAGCGCTCAGCTCATTCAAATTTGCAAAACGCTATGTAAATACTCAAAGCCTGTCAACATCCCAAATGCAAAACAAAAGAGAGGTTGTTCGCAGATCTGCCAGTCGCCTTCCCAACGAGTTTCGTGAAGTTCTGCCGCAGGGGATCTTTATCGCTGGCGTTAGCGAGGAGGGTCGGTTCTTCACAAGCAAACGCCCTGTCAACACTAGCCAGTCCGCTTGAACAGCTCGCGCCACGGGCCGATGGCTCTGGCGATAATGCCTGCAACTCCACCTGACCCCGCTACCAGTGTATACCAGGTATGACAGCAGTGCAACGCTGCGATAGGAGGCGGCCTGGAAGTGTTCCGCACCATAATGCAGCGTGCCTGACGCCGTATCACGTCAGTAGTGCCACGGAGCCCGACCATCGCACGCAGGCGTGAATGGACCACATCAGTCTCCATCAGAAGTCTGATCCTGATCAGACGTCGACACGACCCCGGGCGGCCCCGTATGGGACACGTCCATGGCTAAACCTCGCCAGTATTCACCGTGTGCGTTCGCGGGGCCATGCTAGGATGACTAGCGCCGAACGGCGTGGTAATTACGGCCAGCCTACAAACCTAACGCGGCAGCAAGGCCAAAACCATTGTTACGCACGTTTATTACATGGAAGGATTAAAACAATGCACAATCAGAGCCACATCACTAGAACATTCTCCCGCAGAAAGACATGAACGTTCCACACAGCCAGGCTGGGCGGGAAATGAACACAACCATTCAAATACTGCCTCGGTAGCGCACAACGCGGCGCTATCCAACCGACCGCACATCGTGCCTCCTAGAACAGACTATCCGTGAAAGACTTGTGCAGCGCGCGATAAAAAGAGGCATCCTTGGTGCGTCCACGCTGGGAGTCGATGTCATGGGAGCGTGTTCATGCTGCGGGAGACCGTTGCCGGGTTTCGGCCAGGCACCCGAACGGGATCTCCGTGGAAGTCCGGCGCCCCCACTCTAGGGGGGGGGGGGGGAGGGGGAGGGCAGAGCTATTACTCCTCCATGTTGTCCCGGATCCAGTCGACGTACGCAGACACCCTGGTGTAGATGCCCGGGTACTTTGGGTTGCCGCAGCCGTAGCCGGTCGACACGATGCCCACCAGCTCGTAGGCGTCGCCGCCGGGCCGCGGCGCCATCAGCGGGCCGCCCGAGTCGCCGTGGCAGGCGTCACGCGCCACCGAGTCCCGGCTGCCGGCGCACACCTTTGTGTCCTGAAATCCACCTGGGAAGCGAGCCCTAAACTGCGGCACGGCCAGGTACGCCTCCTCGCAGGCGTCCGCGTCAGTCACGCGCAGCGGCACCTCGTGCAGCACGTCGGGCGTGTCGCCGGCGAACTCGAGATGGCCCCAGCCGGCCGCCTCGACGTCCAGCCCGGTGGGCACGGGCGCGCCGGGCGCCGGCAGAGCCAACGGCTGCACGGCCGCGGTCAGCTCCGCCGGCTGCGCCAGCCGCACCAGCGCGATGTCATTCTGCCAGGGACTGTACTGCGGGTGGTGCAGCACGGCCGCCACGCGCCGCTCCTGGTGCGCCACCTCCGAGCTCACGGAGAGCGTGTGGTCACCCAGCCGCACGCTGACGGCGGCCGCTCGCTCGGGCTGCACGCAGTGCGCCGCCGTCAGCACGCAGCGGGCATGGATCAGAGTGCCGCCACAGAACCACTCGGTCGGGCCGGCGTCGGTCTGGCGGCCAAACAGCGCTATCCACGGCCACTTGCCGAGCTGGGCCGGCGAGCCGCCCACCGCCTCCAGCTGGGCGGTGGCGGTGGA